AGGAAAGATATTTACAAATTCTAGAATTGAGATTCAGTGGTTAACAGGAAAGTTTTGCAGAACTTAAAAGATGGTGATAATTTGATTCACTGGGATAATAAGCTCCAAATGACTTCCTGAGGAAACAGAAATCAAAGCGAATAGAAATCAAAATATGTTTTGTCAGGAGGAACACAATCAGAATACTGACAGGGAAGTCAGGAACTAGGGAAGACGAAAAGCAAAACCTTAGCTACCTAGAGGGGAAGCAACACGTTTGGGATTTTATATTAAAAGCCTTAACTTGAAAAACATTTGACTACAATCTGGTTTCTGTCCACATTTGCTTAGCAAGTGGCTTTCAGATAAATGAGCTGCAGCAGTGAATACTGACTAAAGAGTGAGCCCTGCCCACTTTTGGGTGGCTTCTTATCTAGATCTCAGTCTAATTGGGCTAGCCTTCACACCTTATGTTTCTAATGACTTGGCTTTAAGTAATGAAAAGTTCTACATAAAAAAATGGAAACAATTGAAAAGTCATCATTATGAAAAATATTCTTAGAATGAACTATTATAATGCAATTAAAATTATGTTTATGAGGAGTGTTAATGGCATGGGGAAATTCTTATACTATTTTTAAGTGAAAAAGCAGGAAACTATTACTTTTAGGATAAGAAAGTATGTGTATGATAAAATGTAAAGAAAATAGTCTTTGAAGTTATTAGATATATCTGGGACCTAATCCAAGCCCTGTCACCTATTAAATCTTGAGCAGGTTGTCTTACTTTTCTGAATTTCCATTTTTTCATTTGTAAAATGGCGGAACTATATGTGAGGACCAGTGAAAATATAATGTTACTTTCAGTAAATGGTAGGGATAAAGGTGGTAGTAATATTAATTGCAGCAGCAGTAGTAGGAAAGGAAGAAACAGAATATACAATTATGGCTTGAAACAATATCAGAAGGAAATAAAATGTTGGCATTGGTTGCCGTTGGTGACAGAATTATATTATTTTTCTACATTTCTCTATAAAATTTTCTAAAACGGGAATGCTTTTTTATATTGAAAATTTTAATAATAAAGGTAGTATATAAAAAGTACTATGAAGAAAAATAAAAATAATAATCTATTACTTCTTTAATACTGGTTGACTGTTATTGGTATATTCAATATTATTCTTTTTAATAGATTCTCTTTCACCTGGCCTGCATGTAAATACTAATGGCAGAAATTATCATCAAATAAAGAGATGGTGATGGGTGGCCGGCCAGTGGTTAAGGATTTCAGAATAGGCTCTAATTAAACAGTCTATTTGTGAAAATTTACTTTAATTTGTCAGGGCTATTTAGTTGTGTCTTCTATTAAAGCCTTTTTTTTTTTTTTTTTTTTTTTAAATTTTTTTTTTTAAATCAGGCTTGCCAAAACTTTATGTCTCTTGAGGCAGAGTTGTTTCTCTTGAATCTCCAATACAAGATGTAAAACTGTGTCTCCACCTATGATTTTAATGAGATCTCCCTTCTTAATTATCCTCACCATTCCTGAACTCAAGAACCTCAGTAACACCTTTACAGTGACTTCTGAGCTCTATTGTTCTAGGATTATTTTCCCAAACACTAGGACTTATTTGATCTTCAGGAAATTAATTTTAATCAAACTGATAATATTCTCTTCACTAAAAATTCCTTTATTTTGTTTGGGTCAGAGAATGAGACCCTCAATGGGTTTATATTTTCTAATATAGCAAAGACTGGATGTTATCAATCTCAGAATCCCAGCATATTTAGCTACAGATGGTATCTTATCCTTTGGGAAATATTAATAGTGCTCCATTAAAAATCTAAGCCCTAGAAATGCCGCAAGATTAGAAATAAAGCTCTCTTCCAAGAAAATAATTAGTTCAGTACAAAGATAATTGAGGAAAGCCACTTTCTCTCTTCTCATAAACAATACTATTAACCTATTTTAGGAACACATCAAAAAGATGAAACAATGAGGTCTAACACAATCCCTTAGAATTATCCAAATTTTCTAGTGCTTATCAAACGTGTGGGGTGGAAAGAAAGAAGAGGGGAATTTCAGGATGATCTTGCTCCTCAAACTTCATGTTAAAATGAAGAACATCTGATGTCAAGTCTGAAGAAACAAACTAGAGGCTTTCATATAAAATTTTGTGTCACTTTAAAACATAGATCCTAAGATATAGGATCTATGTCTTATCATTTATCCTTTCATACAGGTATTGTCCAATAATGTTTGCCTCTGAAACGTCACATACAATCTATCTCTGCCTTGACAGCAAGACAGAAATCTCTGCATCTTGTGTAGTGTAACTCAAAGATGTTCTTGTCAGTAATACTTAAAGACCTGCCCTTTGTGTAATTTTCCATTAAGTCCTTTCCCACTATGAGCTTAGAACCTTAGGTCAACACATTGGTCTCCAATATTATAGACTATAGTCAGAGCCTCCACCTAACTCTTCTTGAATTTTTTCTTTTCATGAAGAAGCAGTCTAAGACACTCACTGTAACTAAGATGTGATGCTGCGTATGAGATCAGTTAAGTTTGTTATCAGTATGTAGGCTTGGGAAAGCTGCTATCACAAATTTCAGAAGTTGACTATCTGCTCTAACTCAGAGTTATGTTTTAACAACATTTTGCAAGGAATCAGCAGCCTGACCTGGGAGGTGTAAGCAGCATAATATAAAAATCTTGATTTTTGATCCTTCCTATCTGCTTCTATGAACAAATAATTTATTTAAAGAAATAAAAGACGTTTTTTTTTCCATGCCCAAATTTGTGGCTTTTTAAATCCAAACGCCCATAAAAGTAACTTGGTTATTTCACACTAGACCTATTCATTTGTTATCATCAAATTGCCAGCCTCTGAAATATCAGCTATTTTTAATAGTGTGCTGATAAACTGGCTTTCCAGAAAAAAAAAAAAAAAAGCTCTGGTGGTAGTGTGTGCCAACATCCATGGTATAAATACTCCCACCATAGCCAAATCAAGCTACTAATGCAAAGTCAACCTCCTTGCAAAATTCCTAAAAATTTAACAAGCAGTTCTTATATGAGCCAGTATGAGTTGGCTCCAGCACATCACTGGATATAGATTATTTTTCTAACACCCTAAGAGTTTAGTGTGCCTTAATTTATAAATGCTGCAACCAACACGATGATCCTTTCCTCATTCAAAAATTTCTTTTAGTGGTATAATATTCCCAAATAATTTAATGCCAGGATTAGCAATAGTTCTTCCAAACTTTCAATTTTAAGAAAATGAATTGGAAAGTCCACTTCTCCATTTGCTTATTGCAGAGACATTTCCTAAATAGGTACAAAAAAAAAATGATAGAAATTGTTTGTCTACACAATTTCTTAGGTAAAAATGGGCAATCCTAAGGTGAGTATAGGGAAGTATGCACCTACTTCTCTAAGAAGGGAGCTAGTATTATTCACTATTAATAAACAGCTTCACTAGTTTTCTCAACATTAATAAAAGAATAATCTACACTGTGGTTATCATATAGTAGGCTAGCAATATCTCCTTAGCACTAGTGTTATTTCAAAGAGTGGGAAGGCTATTTCAGATTGGGTGGTCAGGAGGCTTCTTTGAGCTGAGCACTTTTGATAGAATCCAGCCATGCAAAGAACATAGAGAAGAGCATTCTAGGTTAAAAAAAGAAAGAAAGAAAGAAAGAAAGAAATAGAAAAAAGAAAAGGAAAAAAAAAAAAAAAGGAAGACAAATACAAAGGTCCAGAGGTCAAAATGAGCCTGATTTGTTCGAGGCTCAGAAATTAGACCTGTGAGGCTAAATCATAGAGTGAGCAAGAAGGAAGGGGATAGGAGAGTGAGATTGCAAAGTTAGGCAGGAACCATGTCTTATAGGGCCTTGACAGCTGTGATAAAGAGTTTTATTTTATTCTAAAGCTTTAGGAATCCAGTGAAGGATTATAAGAGAAGGCATAATTTATAGGTAATATATCAGACATAAAGAATATATAATACAAATTTATTTTTAAATGTTACTGAGGTCATAGAGGTTTTCTGTCATGCATTTTATCAATTAATGAATACTAAAAGCATAACTTTTTATGTTAAGAAGAAATTTTTATAATTGAAACTTTTGGGAACTGTCTCATAAATCTTACCTTTACTTGGACTCTTAGGCAACTTTTACATATTAGAAGAAAATGGGGTCTCATCTTCAATTTCAATCTATCTCCAGAGGCTGAAAAGTTACTCTTTCCATTCACAG